ACGCCATTTTCAACTTGATGCTTTTGTACACCTACCTAAGAGCAAATACATACATAAATATGTACTTATCTACATATGTACATGCACACACAAATGTGAATATCGTTACGTCCCTTGAAAAAAATTATATTTAATATAGAAAGGCCCTATCTCACATCGTTCCCATTTTCATTGATTATGATCCATTTCATCGAATTATGAGTCCCCACATCATTTTAATCAAAAACAATTTTTAGTCAGTTAAGGATTTTTTTTGTACTTCAGCGACTATTTCGGTTAGGGCCTTTCTATATTAAGGTAACGATATATACATTGTATATACAGTGAAAAGCAGTTAAGCGGGCAAATTAATAATAATAATAATAGTAGATTGACGCTTACACAATATGTTAATGTTTGACCGAGCTTCTCCTGAATTTTCATTGTGATCTATTACCAGCAGACGATATGCAAAAACTAGGTTTTGATCTCTCTCTGCACATGTGGGATGGGACTGTAACTGGTGTTTAATTTAAAATTTGTACAAACTAGACCACTTAATCAAACTTTTTTTTATTGGATTAACGATTAATGATTAAAATTAGTTAATCGTAATCACAACCGACGATTAACGATTACAAAAAAATTAATCATTAATCGTACAGATGATTACGATAATATTTTGATCGTTAATTTTTAATCATTAATCAGATTAACATTTTACCAACACTTATGGACTAAAAGTATGTGAGTGTTCGTTTGTTTGTGTAATGCTTATTAATTTTTTTTTTTATAAAGGTCTAGCTCATTATATAACGAACGCCATAAACAGTGGCGGAAGAAATAATATAAACTTTTTTATTTATATTCGATGTTTATTATTTTTGGAAAACTGTTGTAAAAAACGTATGGAAGTTATTGATTAATAAACGGGCTCACTTCTTTAAAAACATGAAGGAAAGCTAGCAATGGCAAGTATAATACAATTTTCTTTAAAACGGCAGAAATTTAACTTTAAAAATTGCTAAGAAAAATATCGTCGCCTTAGAGTGTAAACCTGCTAACGACCAAAAAACATATTTTACTGTAGAGGCAAAAAACTAAATATATCTTTAACTCTTAGTCTAAGGGGCAAATCCTACATATAGTTTGTTAATCGCGTGACTTTCTATGGCCCTAATCCAGAACGAATGAAAAATTACGTTTTTATGGTTTTATTGGCGAATTTCTAACTTAGCAGGTTTTAGTTTTTGTATTTTCAAAATTGAAGTGGATTTAGCAGGTTTTTTGTATGAATAAAATTGTTTCTATTTTATTTTTTGTGATTACGAGCTCAATTTAAATGTTTATTAAAATAGGATTCCATAGATAAAAACAATCAAATATATAAAATAATACAACAGATTTATTCTTCCGTTTATTGCAACAAAAATAGGCAGTTTATAAAACATATATTAGTAACTATACGTGAAGTATTCCTCTCTCAAATTAATAGTACAAAGTCCACATATAAGATAATTTAAGTAGGAACTCAATAATGCCAGAAAGTATAATACATGTTATTCAATCATGAGGTAAATTGTCATAGTAGGCGTGGTAATCTTCAGGAAGTAATCGTTTGAAATACTGGAGATCTCATACTTTCTGCGAGCAATCGTACGCCTACTCTCGTATAAATTCGGAAGGTGAGAAAACGGCAAGGAAACAGCTACTGGGGATTTTCTTTGCGGTATTACTTCCCATTCGTTGGAGAATCTTAGTTTGAAATGAATGTCGCCACTTGGTGTATACCGTAGGGTACGTATATCAGTTACTTTAGCAGCACCTTTGCCGCGACCGGGACGAATTCTATTAAAGAATTGAACTGTGTTAGAGCTTTTAAAGAACGTGTAACTAATAGCGTTTTCTTTTCTCAAAAAAAGTTCTGCCCTTTCATACGGGAACTCTTGCTTTGCGTTGCCCTGAAACCTGAGAAAATGTTGCGTTCTTTATATGAGAATGAAACAAAAAATATACTACTCCATCCTAATTTATTTATAGAATTTAATAAAGCTGAATTATTCACTTGGCCTGTAAGTCTTTAACAATTTTTAATCAAAACACTTATTTCTGATAGGGAAAATAATTGCATTTTTACAAGATTAAATAAAAAATCAACCATGCAACTCTCACCCTCACGTTTATTTGAGGGCAGAAAAGGCAGCACTTTCGCCGGATCAGAGCGCAACCTGCTGAGAAAAGAACACGTAGCCTTGTGAAAGAGCTGAGAAAATAACATGAAAATGTGACAGCGCTAACACAAGGCAGAATAAGTGCAGCCTCTTTTCGAGAAAAGAAAACGCTATAAGATAAGTTACGTCATATGGTTTTGGATTTTTTCTAGCTGATCTACATACTTTAATGTATTCTGAAGGAACATGGATATCTCTTTTCTTAAGTGCTCGTTCGATAGTGGAATGGATACAATCAGCTTCCATTTAGGTATGGCCTACTTCAAGAAACTACAAAGCATTAGCCATAATACAGTTTCGGTTTTGATTTGTGCATTCGTCGCTATAAAAAATTACTGTAATTGGCCCCCGGAACTATTATTTGGTACTACATTTTTTTTCTATCAAATCTACCCACACGCTGGAAAACTCTTCGGCATTTAATCTTCCTTCTGTTTCGGTTCACAAGTAAAAATAATTTTCTTGAGATATAAAAAATTAAAGCTTATTTGCTGGCTATTACCTTGGCTTAAAGGCATAAAGTACTACTCTAAGTTAGAATAATAATCGAGCGACAGAAGCACAATATGTTGGATTTAGCAGTTGAATTTGAACTGATTGTACTTAGCAGCTTTACTCATCAAACAATTTTTGACAATTATATATTTATCTATATTGACGTATTTTTTTTGCTTGCCAACTGCGGAATCACCTACTCCTTCGAACTGCATCAAAAGGTCAATTTTGCCAAAAAACGGATTTAGCAGGTTTACACTCTAAGTAGACGATATACTGATATGCATAAACTAAAATAACAAACATATAAGATTTTCACATAAAATAAAAAAAAACAATATGTATGTACTTACATAAATACCATAACAAATTTTAACAATTTTTTTCACATATATAGAACCAAGAATTTTAAAATCATTTCTTAAAAAAAATGTTTATCCTCTTAAAAATGTTATTTATTGTATTTAAATTTTGTATTTTCACATTTGTTTTATTTCTTATATGTATATTTGTTTTTTTATTAATTTTTAAAAATTAATTTGTATTTGATTATTTTTTTTTATAATGTTGATATTTTGATAATGATCTTGATGGAATGTTATCATTTTTTTTTATTGCTGTAGGATTTATTTCAACTTACCTAAAAAATGGATTTTTCTTGTTTGCCGCAACGATTGTCTCGTGTGGAGTCCACATGAAAAATGACTATCGAGTGCCTTCTTTATTTGTAAAGTTTATTTGGAAAGTTGTCAGAATTCTCGCATTTTTTGTCATAAATTCAATAAAATAAATAAAAGGTTTATGAACGCATTCGCATAATAATAATTTATCGATAATAAAATTTCATAAAAGTAGCAACTTACAAAATCACCAACGCCAAAAAAGGAATCGTCTATTTTACCATTCAATTAAGTCAAATCAAATCGTAGTCCGAAAAAAAACCGCAAACATATTTTGAAGGCGCCAAAAAAATTTAGCTGAAAGATGACAACAAAGTTGGTATCCGCCAAACCAGCGGTCATTAAAATGTTACCAATGCAAATGGATTTTAAAGAATTTGTAAATGCATTTTTGTTTTACTATTTTGTTGTTACACTACTTATTTCTGTGCAGAAAGTGTTTTACCTCGAAAATTGTATTTTTAACCATAACCTTTATTGTAGACAATTTGCAAGCCCGCACCTCTGTCCACAGATGAAGAGGCCGTTGTGGAACGTGAGAAATGTGATTACAACTATAAAATCACCTATCAAATGGCGCGTTCGGGGCAGACGAAACGACGCGTACGTGTCTACGCCGATGGCATTTATGACCTCTTCCATCAAGGTCACGCCAGACAGCT